CCGAAGGAGGAGAGGGATGAGGAAGGGAAGGACGAGGAGGTGAACGAATGGGAAGAGGGGAAAGAGGAGATCAAGTATAAAAGAAGGAGAAGTGGTGGCATGATGGAGAGAATGGGTAGGTAGTGGTGGGAGGAGGTCCACAAAGGGAAAGGGAAGGTGATCATTGCCGCCATCGCTACTTGATAGTTGACACGCATCTGGGCGGCATTGTACAGCCGATGCGTTCTTTTTTCAACGCACCACTGCCACCACCTGCATTTCGGCTGATCGAAGTTTTTTTTTTCTCTTTTTCAAATGCTAATCTTCTGTGTACAACATCCGAAAGGAGATGAATGAAGAACTGGAGGCAAGAAGGAACGAACTGGAAGAGGAGAGGGCTGTCTCTTATACACATCTAGATGTGTATAAGAGACAGGAGAGAGAGAGAGAGAGAGAGAGAGAGAGAGAGAGAGAGAGGGTAGTTCCAAATACAGGGCTATAGCGCGACAGACAAGGTGAGGGAAGGAAAGGGAGGGGTGAGGACGACGACATTGACGGGAAGGGGAAAGGTGTCAAGTAGGAACTGTGAGGAACGGCACAACTTGAAGGAAAACTGGCTGCCGAACGAACAAAATGACGAAAGGGAGGAGCAGCATGAGGATTAAAATGGGGAGGGGGAGGACGACGAGCGGGCAGAGGAAAGGAAGACCCGGGATGACCAGGCTTCTGCCCCGCCTTCACCTTCTTCCCCGCCGTTGTCCCGAGAAAATGAACGGGACGGGGAGAGGACAACGAACGGGAGGGAGAGGGGTGGCGGGAGGAAGAGCGCAATAAGAGGGAAGATGACCGGCGGGAAGACGGGCATGACGCGCGCCAGGAGGAGGGGTGGGAGTAGCGGGACGAATGAAAAGCGTGAGGAGGAGGACAGGTAAGACGATGAGCGACAGGTTGGGGAAGCGGGAGGGACAGGGGGAGAGGAGAGGAGAGGAGAGGAGCGCCATGACCGGGCTCCCGCCCCGCCTCCACACCTTCAATCCCGCCGAGTGGTTGGGGGGAAGAGGGTGATG